ATATTCTAGAGGATTCTACACTCTTCCACAAGCTTCTAAAGAGTTATACACTTCTCTAGAGTTCTCCGAAATGTTCTAAAAATTCTACACTTCTCCATAAAGCTCTAGAATTTTCTAGAACCTCTCCAATTAGGGAGAGATCCAACAGTTTTCTTCCATGCCCAACTATAATTGTCCTTCATAGGCGCCTGCCATAGAGAGCACCCTTCAAAATGTACTTCTCAATCTAAGCCATCAAAAGCGGTTATAGCTGTGCAAGAGGTAGCCACAACCATTTCATTATACAAGCTCTATTCCAAACTAAAATATTATTTATCCCCATACCCCCTTCACATTTTGGATGAAACAACTTCTCCCAACTAGCCCGAGCACCCCTAGCAGAGCCATTTGAACCCTTCCAAAGGAAAGCACTATATAAACTTCCAATCTTCTTCAACACTTCAGAAGGCAATAGAAAAACTCTACTCTAAAAATTTTGAACACTGGAGATAAACCGCTTGAATGAGCTACAATCTTCCAGCAAAAGGATAAACATTTAGAAAGCCAGTTCTGAATTTTTCTAATAATTTTATCCACCAATCCCTCACAATCCAAGTAAGAAAAGCTCCTAGAGACAAGCGAACTCCCAAATATCTTCCAAATATTTACTTTTATCAATTACACCACTTAATAAATTTTACTAATATAATATTTAAATCGGACTCAATCAAATCAAATGATTTTAAAGTGTGAGTAAGCCTAAGTTGGGTACTAATGGCACTTATAGATGATAATAAAAATGTGAAAAATAATGTGAGAGAGTTGTGGCGTGTGCCATTGGTAATTGAAGATAATCATGGTAATAAGATAAGGATTAACCTAGTGCTAATCGAAAACAAAGTGTATTTGATTAGTTAATTAATTATTTTTATAAGCATTAATATTTAATTAAATAATTAATTCAAATCAATATTATAAAATATCATTATTAAATTAATATTTTCAATTACCTATATATACACAGTGGTGGTCCTGGTGGAAGACAAGAAGGACTATTGGATGCTATGGCCCCACAAATTTAAAAAATTATAATATGGACCTTTAAAATTTTCAGTAAAATTAATTTGGCCCTCTCAATTTTTTTTAGAAATTTAGATTAAAATTTAAATTTTTTAATGTTATTGATTAAATCTCTTCCCATAATGTTTAAAAACTCTCATTAAGCCTCTCAAAATTTCAAAAAAAATAGTTAGACCCTAATTTTTTTGGACCCTAATTTTTTTGGGAAAATGTAAACTAAACCCTTCAAAAAATAAAAATTAATTTAAACCTTTAAATTTTTTAAAGTTTTAAATTGGTCATCCCAAACTCTATCACCAAGATCTGCCACTACATATATAAAATAAAACATTAATTGACCGAGTGATAATGATATTCGTATTGTCTTATCATGTGTGGGTTTGTATCCCAACATTTATTTTTGTAAATTTAATATATCTTTACTTAATTAAAAAGATAAAATATTAAAAATTAAATTATAAACAAAACTAAGGGTAAAGTACACAAATGATCTCTCGAATATATGATACTACTTTATTGAATCAACTGATTATTAAAAGTTACAAAATGATCCCTCGACTATAGAGAGTTACATTTGAGTTCCCAACTATTAGAAGTTACAAAATGACCACTCGACTATTCATTATGTTTCAAACTCGTCCTTTCCCGTTAAAAATTAATGGTCATCTGAGTTGGATGTTAACAACAACAACAACAACAACAACAAAACCCTGATTCCCATATGCAATGAGGTAAGGGGGAGGTAGGGTAGTAGGCTGATCCCAACGCCAGGTCATATGAGTTGGACGTTAACATGCTATATAATAGTCGTTTGAGATTATGAGATCAAATTTAATCATATCTTAGTCAACATGTTAGTGAACATCTCAAACTATCATCAATTTTTTAACAAAAGATAACGAGTATGGAACCTAATGAATAGTTAGGTGATCATTTTTGTAACTTTTAATAGTCGGAGAATTAATAAAGTAATATCTATAGTCAGGGGGCTATTTATATACTTTACCCGAAAACTAAAATAATTATTAAAAAGAAAGACTTTTGACATTATGCCTTTCATAAAAGGCTAGAGAAACATGTTGATTGTTGTTGGCAACCGGAAAACTGTCCCAAAAAACATTGAATTTCCATTGACAATAAAATAGTGGACCAATCCCAAGCTATCCTTTGAGAGTTTGAGTTATCAAATTGGCCCCGAATGTTCGTTCATCTGTCTCTTTGAAAGAAGACAGCGCCTTAAATTTCCCATATGCATGACCGTATGAATGATATGATTCTTTTGGACCGTTTTTAGTTCGATTTTGAACCGAATTTGATTTAAAATTTTTAATTATATTTAATTTAATTAAAAAAATACATAATTTAAAAGTTATTATTATTTATAATAATATAATTCTAAACTAGAAACAACAACAATAAATTGATCTGGATCGATGAGACTTGAATTCATTTTTTTATTACATCTATTGGGACAAGAAGAAAACATTGTACAAAGCACGTGACTTGCATTAGATCCATGTGAGCTTGTTTTTTATTTTTTTTCTTCCCCATTTGTCTCTTAGTGAACAATGAATGTCAAATAAAAAATAAGTCAAACAATGAATCCGATATGAGTAATTCATTTTATTATTTAGTAAAAATAAATACTTTAAGAAGAAAGTCAAAGTTTAAAGTATAAAATAAAACAGAGATTTACTTGGGGTAAACTACATGGGATACTATTTAGTTTTAGGTGGGGGTATATCATTGACTTTTTGATTGCTTTAATTATAATAATAAATTTTGGTTTAACTTCAATTATATTATTAATCTGTTAAATTTTAATAATACGACGACATGAACAAAATGACGTTGTTTTAATGCAACTATTAATACTTAAAACGATGATGTTTTAGGCACTAAACTTTTAGAGTGTATCATGTTTATCACTAAACTTTTAAACAATTCACTCTTTGACATTGCACTTTTTTTGCCGTCGTTGATAGTGAATCGCTGTCTGTCACCGATCTACATTCATGACAATATCACTATCAAAGTATTCATATTTTACCTCTATTTCTTTTAATCAAATCTATTTTTCACAAAAACCACTTACAATCGAAGAAAAATCCATAGGTTCAATGTGCTAATGCTCTAATATCTTCCTATGATCGTCTAATGAGGTTAGTTTTGAGGTATATTGTTTATCTTTTCGAAATAATTCTTTTTATTGTTCATATTTTCAAACACTCCCCAAAACGTAAAAAATGATGGATTTTTTAAAATTTTAATTTCGTCGATATTTAGTAGATTTCGTAGATAACCAATCACATAAGAACAAAGACAAGCGAAATACGAATGTACTGATATCGATCTTGCCATGAAAAGGCCATTGGTGAAAGAGGTCGATTTACTACTAACAACGGTAAGAAAGTATAGTGCACAAAAATGGAATGTTTAAATGCTTAGCGACAAAAAATTGATACACTCCTAGAGTTTATTGTCTAAAACATCATCATTTTAGGCATCAATAAATAACATCGTTTTGTTTGTCAATATCATCACGTCGTTTAAATTTTAACGACCGAATTGTATAACTGAAACTAAAATAAAAATTTGGTGCTAAAACTAGAGCAATTAAAAATCTGACGGTATAAATAATACATCGCCTAAAATTAAATGATATTTAGTATTTTTACCCTTTTATTTATAAAACAAGTGTGCAAATGAATTATGAAAATTACCCAAATTGAAGAATAACAAGTACATAAATACTGTTACAGCAATAATCATGTCATCGTATTGTGCATGGAAAATGACATTTTGTTCGAAGTAAAATTAGAGTGCGGTGATGTGATTAGACAGTTAAGCAATTTTGGACCACACGATTAGGATGGACGTAAAGGATGTCATTGGAAATTTGATTGAGGAAAGTGGGACCCAGGAAAGGAGATGATTACTGTGTAAGTGAGTTAGACTGTAACATCTCTTACCTAAGACCTGTTAACATATTTATTTTATGAAGTAAAAATTGTAAGATAAGAGTCAGGAAAAGCCAAAACCACCTTCTTTCCCTCAACTATTTTCTTCTTCTTCTTCTTACTGTCTTAATCTAAAGTTGTTTCAACATTTCCCCACTCTCAGCCTCAGCGAGTGAAACGTACCCCCTTCCCCTTTCGCGGAAACTGAAATCTAAAAACCCATACCAATTAAATTATCTTAGTAATTAAATAAATTATTGTTATTTTTAATGATTTTAGGTTTGAGTATAAAAAATTACAAGATATTTGAACGTTAATTATAAAATAATTAAGAATCTTTAAAATATATATTATTACTTATAAACATCATAGATTAAAAAAAAAGCGAACGGGTAATTTATATTAAACAAACATAATTTTCAAGTAAGTGTTATCATTATTGTTATTGTTTAAACATTATGTATTTGACTTGATTAAGTTAAGGCTTAATATAAAAATAAGTCTCCAAATTATATCTTAAAAATATTTTAATGTTTAAAGAATTTTTTTTTTGTAAATAAAAAAAGAAGGAGAATAATTATTCGTTAAAAATAGGTAATTAAAATTTTTCGAAACATAATTTAGTCTCTTATTTTTATATAAGCCTTAAATTAAAGAAAAATATATAATTATAATTTAAATGTAAATAGAACAATGTTCGAAACCTTCCATTTTATGAAACGCGTGAGTTCGTAAAACACATCAAGAATGTCTTTTTACGCATTGGTTTTCACAAACCCTAAATCCTATAACATTTAAAATGAAAAGAATTAAACACAACTAAAATAGATGCCGTTAAAATATTAATATTATCAATAAATTATTTCTCCCAGGTCCCACCTCAAATATCATTGATTTCTCCCTTTCAACAATCGACAAGAAGATAAAAACACATTTCTTTAATAGGGGGAAAAACCTTTCTTTATTTGCTCCTTAGATCCATGTCTCCGTATTTCCATTTTCCCTGCAATCCAGGCTTGATCACTTTACTCTCTCTAGGGTTTTCAAAGTTTCAATCCTTTTTAGCTGCAAAGGTGCTTTCTTCTTAAAGGTACCTGGAAAAGGTTAAGACTTTCATTTTTTTAAAACTTCTTTTCTAATCTTTTATGTAGTTTAAAATTGTGGGGTTTGAATAATTTGATTGGATAAGGAGGGCAGAAGAAAATTTGTGTATAGAGAGGTGTCGTTTTCTAGGTTGGTATTTGGATTTGCATTAGCTTGGGTTATCTTTGAAAGCTTGTTTCAGGTTTACTTTTTTTTTGGGTTTAAAGGTTGTAGTGTTTTGGAGAGATTCTAGAGAAGTAGGCTCTTGTTTGAACAAATGAGGTTTTGATTAGATTGGATAGTATGTATATAGTATTGGGTTTTTAGTGAAGCCCGGCTTTATTGGTTTCTATTTCTAGAAACACAGATTCTTGATTACTTTCATTTGGTAGAATGCTGGTGCAGAAATGGGGATTTATTATAACATTTGAATTTAGATGGGATATTGGAACTTCTGTTTTTAGTCGAACTCTTTGGCGTTTTGAGTATGTCGGTAATAGATGAGGGGGACAATGTTGTAAAAAAATTAAAATTCTTGAAGAAATGAAGGATAGTTTCTGTAAGAAGAACTGAAGAAGTTATTGTTTGAAGGGTGGTTTTGGTGTATGATGGGTTGCATTTGTTGTAAACCTTCTGCAATTGAAGATAGTAAGGATAGTCCTAGAGAGAGGCCTTTGAGTAAAGCCGCAACAGAAGTTGGAGCAAAGGATCGGTCTGATAACAATGAAGTGCGAACGATGTTAATTGATAAACAAGTGAATGATACGGTTCGGTTGCATGGTGAGAATTTGGATAGAAGGGAGAAGATGGAGTATGTTGTTACTCAACACCCCGGGATGGGTAGTCTACCAAAAGCTACAGAAGGTGAACAGGTGGCAGCAGGTTGGCCTACTTGGTTAGCTTCGGTGGCAGGAGAAGCAATCAGAGGATGGGTGCCGCGGCGTGCAGACTCATTTGAGAAGCTGGATAAAGTAATTATGCTCTTAACTTATTTCTTAGTTTTGGGTGACGTTCATTGTATACTATGTTGGTCAGACTCTTCATGTTTCATAAAGCACTTGAGTCTGACACTAGGATTTGGGGATATGACCTTTAAGGATACTCCAAATACATAGAAAAATTTAGCCATACCCATTTCTGATACACATCTGTGTCTAACACTACACCGAGTCCAAGCAACATAGATTGTATATGATTGGTGCTCATGTTGCAAATTTCATTGACAATTTTCTTTTTGACGTATCCATCTTGACATCTTTGAAAGATTGTAAAACATCTTGTTTCAATACCTGAGAACTAAACCACTATCCAATATGAATTTCACCTAGCTCTAAATCAGGTTAAATTCAATAAGATGAAAACAGTATCAATTTACAATTAGAAGAAAAATTCCCTCTTAAGTCCAGTGATATACCTTTATTCAACATTAAGGCATACTAATATTTCGTTCACCTCCACTGACATGCCCTCTCTGTCGGTGACTTCTGGATGTGTTGTTGTGAATTATGATGATGTAACTTAGCTATGATTTTTGGAATTTGGTCTGTTTTCTCGATTTTGTACTACAGCCTCTTAGTGTGATGTCTCTTATCTTATAACCTAACACTGTGCTCTAAATTGACTGTTTCTTATGGCTAGTAATCGTGTCTGTTAGTTGAACTTATGTTTTCTATGCAGATTGGCCAGGGGACTTATAGTAATGTTTATAGAGCTCGTGATTTAGATCAGAAAAAAATTGTTGCTCTGAAGAAAGTAAGATTTGATAACCTTGAGCCGGAGAGTGTTCGATTTATGGCAAGGGAAATTCACATACTACGTAGACTTGACCATCCAAATGTTATAAAGCTGGAAGGTCTGGTTACCTCAAGGATGTCTTGCAGCTTGTACCTTGTTTTTGAGTATATGGAACATGATTTGGCTGGTCTTGCTTCGCACCAGGGTCTGAAGTTTTCTGAGCCACAAGTATGTCAGATTGTTCTGCCATTTTATTTTTCTCTTAGCTGCAATTTGATATCTTCCAAAATTTACTTGTAAGTAATAATTTTGGTCTAGACTAATGACGTTTCCTATAAGAGATCTTCCATACATTGGAATTCCATGAATTTCCCCCTTTAAATTGCGTTCTTAAGAAGTTGAGAATATTCTGCAAATCAAAAATTTATATTTGGCATCTATGGGGTATTCTTATGTTCTATTTATTGAACTTTTGGCAGGTTAAGTGCTACATGCAGCAACTTTTGTGTGGTCTTGATCATTGTCACAGCCATGGTGTCCTACACCGTGACATAAAAGGTTCAAATCTTCTCATTGACAATAATGGCATCTTGAAGATTGCAGATTTTGGTCTGGCAAGTTCTTATGATCCCCATCAAAGTCAGCCCTTGACAAGCCGTGTTGTAACTCTTTGGTATAGACCACCAGAGCTTTTACTTGGGGCCACTTACTATGGTACTGCTGTGGATTTATGGAGTACAGGTTGCATACTTGCTGAGTTATATGCAGGCAAGCCTATTATGCCCGGAAGAACTGAGGTGAGCATTCCTACGAAGTACTAAGATTTTTAAGCTGAAACACTAGTCTATTGATATATGCATGACAATTGTTTTAGTGATAGAATGTGTCATATGTTGTCTTTAGATCTCTAGAATTAAATGAACGATCGAGATCCATGTCTTTCTGCTTTATAGGTGGAGCAGTTGCATAAAATTTTCAAGCTTTGTGGCTCGCCTTCTGAAGAGTATTGGAGAAAATCAAAGTTGCCTCATGCTACAATTTTTAAGCCCCAACAACCTTATAGATGCTGTGTCGCTGAAACATTTAAGGAATTTCCTGCACCAGCATTAGCACTCATGGAAACCTTACTTTCCATTGACCCTGCTGATCGCGGATCTGCAGCTTCTGCTCTCAAGAGTAAGGTATGTTTTTAAGAAATTATGTTTTACTATTATATTTCATGCAACTATAATCGATGCATGTCTGCAAGCATCTTACCCTCCTTTTCAGGGTGAATGTTGGAAATGAAGGTTGCCCAAGTATCTAATTTCCTACTTGTTTTTACTCGTGTTCTTTCAGTTCTTTACCACAAATCCGCTTCCCTGTGATCCTTCAAGCTTGCCCAAGTATCCTCCTAGCAAAGAGTTTGATGCAAAAATGAGGGATGAGGAAACTAGAAGGTGAATATTTTATAATTACAATGAGAATATTTATTTATCTTTTTAAAAAAATCCGAGGTGCTTGAGTCGATGGAAAATCCCATGCTTCTGAAGGAGAATTTCTTTGAACTTTTTCATACTTCTGTTGGAGGTTACTTCCAAAAGAAAATTGAGTTCTTCGAAATCTTTAGTTCTCGGATTAGGTCCAAAACTGCTAACAAACTACTTTTTTCTATTGGCAGACAAAGAGTAGCAGGAACCAAAGGTCAGAGACCTGACCTCGACAGGAGATCAACAAGAGAGTCTCGAGCCATGCCAGCGCCTGATGCCAATGCTGAACTAGTCTTGTCAATGCAGGTAACTTGAGATTTGGTTAACACTTGCCATTTCATCTCTTTTTGCTATAACACGTTTGGTGATGGCATCCTTAAGTAGTGTAAGCATCAAAGATTTCTACTTAATAATTTAACATAATTTTTCATTCTTTTTATCAAATTTCCCCTTTTTAGAACAACACCATCCGCATGACATTAGTAACACTTTTCTTTGGAAAAAAATAACTTTACATTCCAGAAAAGACAAGGTCAACCCAATTCTAAGAGTCGGAGTGAGAAGTTTAATCCTCATCCTGAAGAAGTTGCCTCAGGCTTTCCTATAGATCCACCTCGACCATCACAGGCAGTAGAATCAAATGCAGATGCTCAGGGGAATCGTCACAAGAGAGCCTCCCATTCAGGGCCACTGGCTCACCGAGCTGCATGGGCGAAGTCTGGTAAAAAACTCGATGATGCTCCAAAACTTTCTACTGGGGCCGACTTATCAATGATGCCAGGTTTAGTGGCAGCAAGGAGAAGTAATCTTATATCTGAAGATCGCAGAGAGAGAACTGGTTCTTCGCAACCAGAAGCTCCAAAAGTATTTGCAAGATTTCCTGGTTCCTTTAAGGAGGCCTCAGAATATTTCCAACAGGATATGGAACGAAATGTGCAGCAGAAAGAAGATGGAAGAAGTAACATCAAAGATCAAGTTGTGGTAAGTAGTGAACCCGTCTTTTTGTTTTGATGATCGATTCTCATGGTCAAAATCTACATAAAAGAAGACCCTTGTCATTGATTTCTTTCCTGGTAAAAGTATTGCTTTTGGCTAGTTGCTAGTAACTTGTCTTCATTTCAAGTATCTAACGCATACTTCTCAATGATGTTTGTTTCCAGCTTGGTTATGGCTCAAAGGGTCACAAAATTCACTATTCTGGTCCATTATTAGTTCCATCAGGCAACATGGATCAGATGCTCAAGGATCACGATCGTCAAATTCAAGAAGCTGTTCGACGAGCACGCCTGGATAAGGCAAAGATGAAAAGGGTTCCGATAGAAGGCAGCCAAAAATCAACCAATTCATTATTTGTTTCTGGTCGTTGAGCTAAACTTTGTGAACCGCAAATCAGGACGAACAATGTCAAGATGATGGTAGCAAATAATTGGCCGCCGATTCTTTGTATAGCTCGACGCTTATAGGAAGATTGCTAGTGAGGCATATGTAGCTAAGCTTATAGCTGATGAAGAGAGCTTTCTATGTGATCAAACATGTGCATATCTTTACCACTCCACAACTGCAATTTGCTAAGATATGACACATCCCTGTTCGTCTGCCCCAAGTTAAATTCAGAGCTCTTTAGATTATTTAATGCAATGAAACAAACAAATTCTAGCTTGTTTACCAAGTACCTCGTCTCTTCTGAAGAAAATTGCAGCCGCATTATATATATATATATATATATATATATATATATATGCATGCATGCATGTATATGGATAATAAGGCGTTTTCAATTTGGTCGGCTTTGATTTTCATGATGTATATGAAGATGTAATTATAGTTCTAATAATTATACGACTGATAGTTTTGCTTATCTAATTATTTAAATATAATATAGGGTAAAATACACAAATGATCCCCGACTACAAGGTGTTATTTTATTAAGTTCATCGACTATTGAAAGTTACAAAATGATTATATGACAATAAAATATTGATTTGTTGAGTCCTCCGATTATTAAAAGTTACAAAATGATCACCTGACTATTCATTATGTTCCAAACTCGTCTTTTTTTCGTTAACAAGTTGATTGTCGTTCGAGTTGAACATTAACACGGTGAGTAGGATAAGATAGTCGTTTAAGATTCTGATATCGAATTTTATCGTATCACAGTCAACATGCTAACGTTCAACTTAGAATGCCGTTGATTTTTAATAGAAAATGACGAGTTTAGAACATAATGAATAGCCATGTGATCATTTCGTAACTTTTAATAGTCGAGAGATTCAATAAAACAACACTCTATAATCGGATAATCATTTTATAACATTTAATAGTCGAGTGACTCAATAAAACACCACCCTATAGTCGGGAGACCATTTGTGTACTTTACACTATAATATAATTATAGTTTAATTTTGAAAATTATACTTAATTGTAATTATAGGGGTTCATGGTGTTTTAAAACTAAAAAGAATCGTAATTAAATGCAACCTAGAAATAAATAATATGAGATTTGTAAGTTCGAACTTTAAGAACTTTACCGGTTTTTAAGGGGTGCCCTTTTTGCGGACAAATTTAAGGATATTTTTGTAATTTGAAGTCTCGAACCTAAGCTCTCGTAAGAACACGTGTTATATATTCTTTCAATTTTTTCAATAGTTCGTGTTATCGACCATATTATATTATTTTTTAAATTTTATTTTTAAATACCAGTTTATATTGAAGTGATTAAATTATCATTTTCATAAAAAAGTCAAAAATAATAAAAGAATGATTAAAATTAAATAAACTTATTATAATCTCACACCCTTCATCAATAGACGTCACATTTCATCTATCTAAAATGACCATGTAGTACTAAAAACTCATGATTTATTAGAATATTTATATCTCGAAATAGAAAATAATCTACTTAAGAGTTTTATCTTTATTTATCTTCTTATTGAATTAGAATGAAACTGATTTTTATTTTTATTTTTATTATCTTCAATAATGTTTTATCTAAATCATAGATAATAAATAATCGTCGACCGACATCAACTATATATATCTTCAAAATTTGCATTGATAAAAAATAGCACTATTTCATGACACAAATTTTAAAAGAATTTTAAATTAAAGCGGTAAACTTTAACTCAGCTTATATTATTGGATTTTTAAAATTTATTTACAAAATATATTAATATTTACAAATTTTAAAATTATTATCTAAAGTTGAAAATCCCTAAAACAGCAGAAGGAACCATAATGCTTTTGTAACTGCCAGCATTGGCATAAAAAAACGTTAGCCCACTGTTTTTTAGAACTGATAAAAAGAAGAAGAAAAGGATTATTTTTTGTTTCACTTAAAAAAAATCCATTTCCCACCTTCAATCTCTCTCTCTCTCTCCCTCCATGCACTGATATAAAGCTAAAATCTGTTACATTTCTTGTGCTCCCCTCTCCTATTTATCTCTGGTAAACAACAAGAGAATTCCGGGACAGAGAGAGACTGAGATCTTAATCTCTTTTATCTCTTTATTTCCTCTAGAAGGCCTTTTCTTCTCTCTTTGTCATCTCTCCAAAGGGGTAATCATATAAGTTTTTTTTTTTTTTTTATGTTTTCCTATCTGGGTTTTTGTTTGTTTTCCTTTCTCATCCACAATTCAATATTCTGGGTTTTCTTTTTCATTTTTGAAAAAATATCATATAATTTTGCATGTTAGTTTTATTGATAGATAATGGTTTGATCTTGTGTTATGGCATGTTACCAACGATTTGATTGTCTTTTTTTTTTTATCTGGAACATGTCTTTGCATTCTTCTATTATACCAGATCAATCATTTATATTAGTTTGATGTTTGTTTAAACTTTAAAGATCTCATGTAGAATATTTTGTTTTAAATTTCTCCGTTTGCTAACTCTTTTGATTTGATTAATGAAAAAGCTAGCTAAAGAAATGGCTTTAGATAGGTTTATTTCAAATGCTATTGTTAATCCTTGAAATTTTGTTTGTTTATTTATTTGTATGTTAGCATTTAACAAAACGAGTTGCTTTGTAATGATCTTTTCTTTTTCTTTTTTTCAAAAATGAAACGGTATTTATATTTTGTTTGTATAATGTGGTATTGTAATCTTTGTTAGGCTAATAATTTTTTTGCGATTAATGAATGTAGAGATTGTGGGATCAAACATGGCGCAAGTAGCTGGAGCAGCTGAAGTAGACAAATCATTTTTACTTGATAAGGAAAATGGGAAACTGAACAAGGATCCTGTTCATAATGAGGCCATTAAAGTTGTTTCCAGTGCCAAGGAATCGGATAAGGGAGACGGGATAAATGCATCGAATGCCAACATCCCAACGGATGCAGTTGATGAATGGCCTGCAGCTAAACAGATTCACTCATTTTATTTTGTCAGGTATCGCCTTTATGACGATCCGGTGATAAAAGCCAAAATCGATCAGGCTGATAAAGAGCTACAAAAGTGGAATAGAACCAGGTTCAAGATTACAGATGAATTAAAAGCTCAGAGGGTGAGTGAAAAGCTATTAATTTCGCATGGCTTGATTAACCGTTCGTTTTTGTTTTTATATAAGGTATTTATTTGTCATGTCCTGTTTGGCTTTTAATTGATTCCTATAGTTTAGTTGACATTATTGCTGTGACGAGTCTTTCGAACTTGTGTTGAATGCGATCGGGTGTGATTTTAGTTATAAATGATGGAAATTGACGCGTGTGAGCATGTAGCAACGATTATGATGCCAGTTTTTGCCTAATCCCGTTTAGTTTTTAAAAGCATTATCTTTATGTCTTCAGTTGGATCGAGCAGAGTTACTTTCTCAAGTGAGAGCCTTGAATGTTGATTTTGACCAATTTAAGGAGATTTTAGGAGAGAAAAAGAAGGAAATAGAACCATTGCAGCAGGCTTTAGGCAAGCTACGCACCAATAACTATGCTTTTGGTGGTCTATTCTCATCTGAGGAAGAGCTAAATGGTGTTGTAAGTTACTCCTAACTGTTTCGAGAATTTTTCGATTGTTTTCTGCCACATTTAATCCTTTGCTGTTTTAATCACTTAATGGAATTGGTAAACCACAGATCCATTGCTTGCAATATCGCATTCAGCATGAAAGCATCCCATTGGCTGAGGAGAAGCAACTTCTTAGAGAAATCAAACGACTAGAGGGAACCAGGGAAACGGTCCTCGCTAATGCGGCAATGAGAACAAAGATTCAGGATTCGATGGGTCAGAAAGAAGCCATTCAGGATCAGGTTAAAGTAAGAAACTTCCGTTTTGCATCTCTTGAAGTTTTCTTTCCCACTTCCCTCCTGTATTAATAAGACCTTCATTGTTTTACAATAATAAACTTGCTATATTTGTTTTATTGTAGCTTATGGGAGTGGATTTGAATCGAGTAAGGAAGGAGCAGCATGCAGTCCAGTCCAAGAAGAAGCTGATTAAAGATAAATTGAATGCAATAGAGAAGAGAATCAACATTTTACAGGAGGAGCTGAAAGATGTGACCGAGAAGAGGGACAAAGCTTATGAAACCATTCAGGAACTGAGGAAACAACGCGATGAAGAGGTAAGTCTTTTCTTAGCTTTTTAGCTTTAAAATTTCTGTTTCATATGCACACATGACCATATCCGAACATTCATTTGTGCTTGAAGATCTTCATGGAATTTTGACATCGTTCGAGTAAAACCATTTATTTAGTTAAATTTTTATGTCGTTTTGCCAATATGCATAGTCAACTTTCATGCTTCATCGTGATTCGCGAATGCTATTTCTATGGATGGACTAGTTTTAATTACTATTTTCTTTCAAAATTTCAGAATATGTACTTTTTCCAGAGCCGTTCACTCTTAAACAAGGCCAAAATCGTTGCTGCCAAGAAAGATATGAAGGCACTTGAGGAGCTTGCAGCTGTTGAGGTTTGTTGAGACTGCAGAAGTGCAGATTATTGTTACGTTTAGAGAATCTCGTGTGTTTCATACTCGATCGGTCACTTATCTTCTGTACTGGTTTTAGGCTGAGAAGTTTATGGCTCTCTGGAATGGTGACAAAGCCTTCAGGGATGATTATGAGAAACGAATTCTGACATCCTTGGACAGTCGGCAATTGAGCCGAGATGGCCGGATAAGGAATCCTGATGAGAAACCACTGGTTGCAGCAGAGGTACCGGTACCTACGCAAACTGAAACAATTCTGAGACCTAGTTCGAGACAACCAAAGGAAGAAGCCAAGTCCGCTCCTCAACCAGGTACTAAAAAAAAGGTCCAGAAAGAAGCTGAGACCAAAGTAATGGAGTCAAAATCCTCTCCAGAGAATGTCGTAGCAGAGAAGGAGATCTCTGGATCGGGCAAGTCGGAGGACACATCCGCAAGCACCAAAACTGATGCTGAAAAACTGAAAGAGAAGAAGAGAGAAGAGGAAATTTCAAAAGCAAAACAAGCTTTAGAAAGGAAGAAGAAGATGGCTGAAAAAGCAGCTGCCAAAACAGCTATAAGAGCTCAAAAGGAGGCTGAAAAGAAGCTCAAGGAAATTATTTGCTTCTCTTTCTCTTGTTTTGCTTCTGATAAGTAGTGTGGGTTAAAACTGAAATCTTGCAAGGTTATTTTCTTTCAGGAGCGTGAGAAGAAAGCAAGGAAGAAGGCAGCAGCAGCATCTTCAAGTGCTGTCAATCCCGAGGAACCAACTGAACCTGAGGCTGAGGCTGAGACTGAGGCTTCAGAATCTGAGAAGGTCGGTGTTAATGCTGATGCACCTGTTCCTGCTCCTGTTTCAGTGAAGGACAAGGCGAAAAAGGAGAATACAGTTCGGTACAGAAATCGAACTAAAGGACCCGAGGCACTTCCAAGAGCCATCCTGAGACGCAAGAAGTCGACCAACTACTGGACGTGGGCAGCTCCTGCTGCGCTGGCTGTGCTGATACTTCTGGCATTGAATTACTACTATTATCTTGTCTGAAGAAGTAAACTTGAATGAAACCAAGAGTTTTTTATTGACATTGCTAGTAGCTAGGTCCATAGCGGCAAAAGGTAGTTAATTCTGTTCTTTGCATCCATGAAGGATGCTCTAAGAAAACTCATAATGTTGCTGGTAGTTCAGTTTGAATGCTTTCTGAAGCCAAAACTTAGTAATTCTGGTTTAATTGGTTGTATTTTTTAAATTGTCTTCCATTAATTTGAGAATGTCATCAGAATCCTTTACAGACAATTCCTGTTCTTATAGCATTTCCATATTTGTTCAACAAAGTAACAATTACTCAACAAGTATGATGCATTATACAAACAAATATTCATCTCATAAGAAATCTGGAGATACTGAACTACTAGTAGAATGCTTCTCATTTGTCGAAGACAACTCGGAAACCCTTTTAACAGCTTATGATGGTTTGGATAAACCAGGGAATTGGTGGGATATTGATCTCTTGGACTCCTTCAAGAACCTGAACAACTTGCGCCATGGATGGCCTATTTTGCTCTTCATCTTGAATGCACCAGCATGCAACTCTACAGGCTCTGATGACTTGTTTTGCATTTGCACCCCCCTGCAACTTGGGATCCAACAAACTTAGTACATCCCCTCCGTTGCTTAAACAGATTGCGGCACGAGCTGGGAAGTAATTGTCGTTCTTATCATCTGCTGTCTCCCAGTTTCTCCTTCCTGATATAATCTCCAAAAGCAGCATTCCATAGCTATAAACATCAGATTTAGGAGTAATGGGTTCACCTGAAATCATTTCCGGCGCAAGGTAACCTCTTGTTCCTTTCATTGAAGTCAAGACACGGCTGAAATCCCTACCGAACAGCTTTGATAGTCCGAAGTCTGAAAGCAGAGGATTATAGTCCGAGTCAAGAAGAATGTTCTCGGGCTTGATATCGCAGTGTATGATGCGTACTCTGCACTCCTCGTGGAGATAGGCTAATCCTCGAGCTATTCCCAGTGCGATATGATGCCTTGTTTTCCAGTCTAGGATCTTCGAGTCCTTATAAAACAGATGACTGTCCAAGGAACCATTTGGCATGTAATCATATACTAGAAACCTCTTCATCCCCTTCAGGCAAAACCCGAGAAGGCGCACGAGATTAACATGATGAATTGTCCCTATGGTGCTCACTTCAGCGCGGAACTGCTTTTCTTCTTCGTCTTGAAATTTGAGACACTTGACAGCTATGGCATCCGAATTCGGAAGCATTCCTTTAAAAACAGAACCAAAACCACCTTCACCTAATTTTTCGGAAAAATTCTTCGTCGCACTCTTTAAGTCACCGAACTTAAAGATAACCAGAACATCATCAGTTGCTTTAGCATCTGAGTAACTTGTCATCCTGCGTGTTGAAACTAGGAGTCCCAAGATACCAATCAAAATCACAGTTGCTGCAGCTGCACTAATAGTGAACCGCTTGATTCTTATCCTCGGTTTATCTCCGCCAGCTTCTGGAAGCCGGAGATATAGATCTTTTCCGAGATTGTCACCATATGACAGGTACCGGATGGTCACCAAATCTTCTCGCCATATGGAGCAATTACCATCATATCCAATCGTGTATGCAATACAAGTGCAGTTTCTTAAGCAGGCTGATTTACACTCTTCCAAGCTCTTATCATTTGTTAATGACACTTCATATGCCGGTAATAATATGTTTTGAATCACTCGGAAGCCATGTTTTGCATCATTACCGCACCGCAACCGAGATCTTCTACGACAACCATTTGTATAATTTCCCCGATTCCATTCTGCAGGAACTTTAGGTTCAAAACCATCCAAGCATCTACAATGAGGCAAAACAAACTGATTGCAAGCACCATTTGCTCCACAGAAATCAAATATTTCACAATCTTCCTTTGGTTTTTCCCAAATAGTTTCCCATTTCTGAGAATCATCTTTCCATACGAGTTTCTGCACTTTCCCTGATACATCAATCTTAAATCGAACAGGAATCGAGGGGCTGGTGATCGAGTAGTTATAGTAGTTCTCTTCCTTATTCGATACATAGTCCATGTTGGTATACTTGTCAGCCACTATATCAGTACTAAACGAGGAAATTCTCTCAAGCCAACTCCCACAAGTCCAGTGCCTATGCCGATTTTTGAGTACATGATACGCCGGGGTTCCATCTGCGTCGAGCACCAGGGAAAACGGTCCAGGCGAAGGATCATTCCAACTGCTCCAAGAAACATAGCTTTGCCTTTGCCCTTTCCTGTTCATCTTGCTTCCTCCAAGCTTGGCACCAGGCAACCATGTATCAGTGGGATGATCAAAGCTTTCCCATACTATAACCAAAGAGCTCGAACTCGAAGTCGAACCATTTCTCAAAACAAGATTCCCAGTATCCTCAAGAACAGCAACAACGGAATCATACACGGTGTTTGATGATGACCAAACTGGGATTTCAGATTGATTGTAAAGAACAAGTCTACCCGTTTCGGTGAGCTCGAGTCTCGAACCGAAAGGATCGTAGAGTGGTGCATCTCTGTTAGCCACCCACACCACAACATCAACTGATAGGGTGTACCAGATTCCTACATAGTGGCCTGTGGAGTTACCTGGCTTGAAGAAACCAAGTTCAAACCTTCCATTGCTAGAGGTCAAAGTTTGGTTACCAGAGAGCGATTGGCCTGGATGCATGGCGTTGGTATCCATTTTAATGGAGACATAGCTTTCAAATGATAGGAAGTAAACGATGAGAACATGGAGAGTAAGCAAAAGCTTTGTTCTGTTTCCCATAGGAGAAATTTTGGACGGATTTGTTTGTGTTTTTGAGTCGATTTGTTTATCTTTCGTTTCATCAAAAGAAAGCACTTTTTAAACCTTATTTCCCAAAGCTCAAAACACGTTTTTGGATGCTTTCAATAGAAAAAGGGTAAATTACATTTTTACTCACTAAACTTTACTCTCTCTCCTATTTCATTCACTATACTTTCAATTTTTCAATTTGCTCACTAAACTTTAGACATTAATTTTTTTTATCACTCGACCGTTTACTCAATAACGAGGTACTTACGTGTCTTATTTTAATAATAAAATATGCAACACGTTTACTCATCGACTTTACCCTCTCTCTTATTTCACTCACTATATTTTTATTTTTTTTCAATTTTAATTTAACTTCATTAGAAATTTAACGGTCGAGTGACAAAAAAAAGTTTAATTTTTAAAGTTCAGTGAGTAAATTAAAAAAATTAAAAGTACGATGAGTGAAATAGGAGAAAGTAAATTAATGAGTAAGCGTGTAATTTACCCAAAAAAAAATTAAAGACGTATTCAAATGAGTGCAAAGGGGTCCCTTTGAAAATTACATTTTTGGTCTTTTATTATTATTATTATTGAATGTTTTATAAGAAAGCAGTCAAAAAAAATTCCTTTTCAAAAAAAAAAAAAAAGCAGTAAAGAAATTGACTAAGAGTCAATTTTTGTGTCGACTTGTCTCATCAACTTTTTTTTTTTAAATGATAGTAATAAATTTAATTTTTACTATCTATCCATTTTATTAATTTAATTTTTAACATTTTAAATTAAATTTAGTGCTTAATCTTAAAAAAAGTAGACAACTTTAGTTTATTTAAAAAAATTAATTAAAATATTAAATTTGAATTTAACAATTCCTATGACAGTTTGTATATACTTCATACTATTTATTTTATTTGTTAACTCAATAAATAATTTTAGATTCATAAAAAAATATTTTAAAGATACGAAATATAAAAATTAATATGATAGCATACATGGATTATCATGTTAATAACCATTACAGATACTAACAAAGCGATAATATATTTTAGAATTTAAATTTAAATTTTAAAAAAATTTAAAAAAATGGTTTTAAATTAGTCCATAATTCAAAGGACCAAGTCTTCCACTGGACGACATTATTTTCATTTAATTACAAGATAAGGTTGCTTGAAAATTTCAAATTAAAATTAATGGTCGGAAAACAAAGTTTATGTCTATTTCATCACTTTTACATAAGAAGTTCATAATCATTAAAATGGTTAATTACGGTAGACATCCTTAAATTGTGAGATCAAATTTAAATTGACTTAAAAAGTTCAAACATATAAGATAGATACAAGATATAATTTATAAACTTATTTTTCAATTAAGTCTTTTTAATAAATTGCTCATTGTTTTTAATAGTTTTAATTAAATAGACATGCTCAAGATATGGGTCAAATTTAAAATTAATCTCTTAATTTCATATTGTTTAATATGTACTAATTAATTTATGGAATTGTTTTAATTAGATCCTCCTATCGGTTTCATCGTTGGTTTCAGTATTAAATATCGATTTAAATTTAATACGTTTCTTTTTAAATACGGAATTAATAAATCAAATTTAAAGAATAAAAATAAAAATTGGTACCACACCAAGGCCCAAGCCCATTGACGTATCGCCGGCTCAAACAGTCTTTGAACGTATTTGTTTCCCTCGGAAATTCTAATTCAAAATTCCAATAGCGTCGCATTCCTCCTTTCTCTCCTCAACGGCGATGGCGACGCCGACGCCGACGAAAACCCCATCGGGAAAATCCAAAAGATCTCACTCTCATCTTCACGAAACACGTGACGCTTCCTACGTTTCTTCTTCTCTGTCCCGTTTCGAGGCCTACAACCGCCTCCAAGCTGCTGCGGTGGCCTTTGGTGAGAAGCTTCCTGTCCCGGAGATCGTGGCGCTAGGTGGCCAATCTGATGGGAAAAGCTCTCTCCTTGAAGCTTTGTTGGGGTTTCGTTTCAATGTGCGTGAGGTCGAGATGGGCACTCGTCGGCCTCTCATTTTGCAGATGGTTCATGACCCTTCTGCTCTTGAGCCTCGTTGTCGCTTCCAGGTGGCTTTTGTTCTTATATATTTGTGAATTTGGATTCTTTTTTGATGGGTTTAAAGGAGCTTTTTGGATTTCATGTAATTATTAGTTAAATCAAGTTTTTACCCCTGTTTATTTAATTCTGGTTAGAAGAACTTCAACATTGTTTAATCAAAAGGAAACACTGAAATTTTGAGGAACCTGATTGAATAACATAAACTTTTTCTTTATGATAGAATTTAGACAGAATAATTTGTTAAATATTTTTGTTAAAGAGTTGAATATTACAACAATTTTTTTATGATCGAGCAGCGAAAGTATCCACAATGTAGAAATTTGCGAAGGATTTATTAGGTTTTGGATGACGATAATCTTGATTTTTGGCTTTAACTATTTTGCTAGCATTTTTTCCTTTTTTGTTTAGGATATGGGTGTTCTTCATTAATAAATGCTCCATTTCTACATCCTGCCATGTTTCTCCTGTGATGTTTTATCTTTTTTTTCATTGATTTTGTCTATTGAAAACAGGAAGAAGATTCTGAAGAATATGGAAGTCCAGTTGTTTCAGCATCAGAAATTGCAGATATTATAAAATCAAGAACCGAGGTACTTTTGAAAAAAACTAAAACTTCAGTTTCTCCTAAGCCAATCGTAATGAGAGCTGAATTTGCACATTGCCCAAACCTCACCATCATTGATACTCCAGGATTTGTTCTTAAGGTACGTTGTTTCTTCATTTGAGAAAAAAAAATCTGAGCAAATTGGTCGAAATCTTGAAACAAAATGGTTCATTTATGAATCAAAACTTGTGGTTGGAAATTTGTTGGCAGGCAAAGAAGGGAGAACCAGAGAACACACCAGATGAAATTCTTTCAATGGTGAAGTCATTAGCGAGTCCTCCCCATCGTATTCTGTTGTTCCTTCAGCAGAGTAGCGTGGAGTGGTGCTCATCATTGTGGTTAGATTCAATTCGTGAAATCGATCCAACCTTTAGAAGAACAATAGTTGTAGTCTCCAAGTTCGATAATAGACTCAAGGTACATATTTTTTGCTCTCCTTATTTGGCTTTGTCATCTATGAGATCTAACATTGAGCTGATACATTCACACTACACTGATGTATTACATATTGTGGCAACCCGCCGAGGATTTTTTCTGAGCTTGGTTTAAGGAGAAATTAAACCTCGGGGACCCAAAAATATTAGGTGTCTGACTGTCTATATACATAATAGGCACTGAAAGTATAAGCCTTGCCTGTTGCTTGATATGGTGTTTCTCTGTGTTGTAACTTGGTTGTGTATCTGAAATTGTGTGCAATGTGATCGCGACAATTCAATTAATGCAGGAGTTTAGCGACAGATGGGAAGTGGATCGTTATTTGAGTGCAAGTGGATATCTTGGAGAAAATACTCGGCCATTTTTTGTAGCACTGCCGAAAGAAAGAAACACCGTCTCGAATGATGAATTTCGAAGGCAAATATCCCAAGTAGATTCTGAAGTTTTACGACACCTGAACGATGGAATCAAGGGAGGTTATGATGAAGAAAAGTTCAAGCCCTATATCGGTTTCAGTTCTTTGAGGGAGTATTTAGAATCAGAACTTCAAAAGAGATACAAAGAAGCTGCTCCGGCAACGCTGGCATTGCTCGAGCAGCGCTGCAGTGAAGTTAACATAGAGCTTGCAAGAATGGACTCCAAAATACAAGCAACTTCTGATGTTTCTCATCTTCGAAAATCAGCCATGATGCACGCAGCTTATATCTGCAATCATGTGGTGAGGCGTTTCTCTCATGCAGGTTTTCATTTGGTTCAGTTAAAACAGTCTCATCATGTTAGATTTAGCTAATTTAGAAAACCATTTGCCCTTATGGTAATGTATAATTATTTACCAAATTGGACCACTCTCAATATCGTTGAAACTTTTGTGGTGGAATCATATTTTCCAACATCTTGAGCTTATAGCATATACCAGTTTCACGACCTGAATTCACCATGTTGAATTGGAGCTCTTAATTGAACTGTTGTTTTTTCCATAAAACTTTTGGTTGAACTACAAGAAACTGATCACACCCTTACGTTGCTTAAGGGGGTTTTGATTGATGGAGCAGCTGATCCTTCCCCAGAGCACTGGGGAAAAACAACTGAGGAGGAAAGATCCGAGAGCGAGTTAACGAGTTGGCCAGGTGTTACTGTTGATATAAAACCTGCTAATGCTGTTCTTCGTCTCTACGGTGGAGCTGCTTTTGAACGAGTTATGCATGAATTCCGCTGCGCTGCATATTCCATTGAGTGTCCCCCAGTATCAAGAGAGAAGGTAGATATCCCGAACTTTGAAATTTTTGCCCCAATAGTATCCTGTTTGAGCATAAGTAAATAGATATATTCCCCTGAAACAGGTTGCAAATATCTTACTTGCACATGCTGGCCGAGGTGGGAGTAGAGGAGTAACAGAGGCTGCTGCAGAAATAGCTCGTACTGCCGCACGGTCATGGCTCGCTCCTCTCCTTGATACCGCTTGCGATCGCCTCGCCTTCGTTTTAGGCAATCTTTTCAATATTGCTCTAGAGAGGAACCGCTGCCGCGAATCGGAATGTAAGTCATTTCCCCATCACTGACTGAACTCTTTAGCCATCATTTACCTATTAATTTCTATTAATTTGCACAGATGGGAAGAATACTGGAAACTGGGATGGGTATGTCGGGTTCCATGCCGCTTTAAGGCATGCATACAATCGCTTTATAAAAGATTTGGCTAAACAGTGCAAGCAACTAGTTAGGCATCATCTTGATTCAGTCACAAGTCCATATTCTCAGGTCTGTTATGAGAATGATTTTCACGGTGTCTTCGGCTCGAGTGCAAGCTCATACCACATATATAACCGAGCTTCGGCTGCTTCCTTTTGCCTTGAGCTATCCGATGGCGGCCAATTAACGCGTGATAAGACAAACGATCAGGAGAACATACCTCCCGAAAGCAATGCAAAGCAGACCACGCCAGGAAAAGGCCAAGAAGCTAGAGAAGCTCACCAAGAAAACCAAATGACAGTGCCTGAGACCCCATCTCCTGACCAGCCATGTGATGTGGTATACGCCAGAGTCAAGAAGGAGCTCGGGAATGGCATCGAGGTCGGACCGAGGAAACGCATAGCACGAATGACAGGCAACAGAAATAATGATCAATTGGATAAAGTTCACAATGGTGGTAGTCTTTTATTTGGTAATGGTGATACCAGAACAGGTTCAAGTTACTCTGAAATCTGCTCATCAGCAGCGCAGCATTTTGCTCGGATACGTGAAGTCCTCGTCGACCGTAGTGTGACATCGACCCTGAACTCCGGGTTTTTGACCCCATGGTCAGTTCTTTAATCTATTCCTTTATAATTTTATTCGTATATGTGACATAACATGAACTCGAATACGAATATTTGGATGTAGTCGGGACAAGCTCGTGTTGGCCGTGGGGTTGGACCTGTTTGCTGTGAGTGATGAGAAGTTCATGGACATGTTCATAGCTCTGGACGCCATTGATGTGCTGCAAAAGGAGCGACAATCTCTTCAAAAACGCCAGAAGATTCTTCAGTCTTGTTTAAATGAATTCAAAAATGTTGCTCGAGCACTCTGATGATGAATTCATCAACACTACCAACTGGATACATCCATCCCAGCATAATGTTCCAATCAAAGTGAGAAAAAAAAACCACTTCATATGAATTTTTTTTACTGCTGGCAACCATTTTTTATCCTTAGTTGGATTGTTTCATCGTAATATTTGATTTGAATACTTAATTCGTTTTACAAATTTTTACTCTCACATCAATTATCATCGTCATCCTCTTTGTTCACTTGTTTACAGTTCTCTTCTTTTTACTCAAACAGGGTGGAAATGGTGGGGTTGCCCATTGAGATCGCCGAGGCTCAAATTTCAACGGTTAATTAAAATAGGGAAAACTACAAGTTTAGTACTTAAACTATTATTTTTATTCAAATTTGGTATCCAAGCTTTATTTTTTAAAATCATATTTAACGTTTAGTTTAGGTCTCATTTGGGTATCTTGCTATTAGGAATTTAATGATGATGTTGATATGTCACTATAAAATAATATTACATCAACATTGATTTTTTTTAAAGTGACACGTCAGCAATTCGATATTTAATTAATCAAATGAGAGGTTCTTTTTGGTTGCATAATTGAGGTGTTCCACATTGTAAGACTATAATAATTTTGGTTCTGAAAAGAAAAGGAATATGATGCCCTTTTCACCAAGAAGCAGTGCTGTGTTCTTGGAATGGAACTTTGGTCCCCTACCCTCCATTCCCCCTCTCCCACATAATATACTTACATATTTTATCTTTCCCATTATAATCAGAATTCGATTCTTTCTTTTTATTTTATTTTTATGAGTTTTTAATATGAATATAATTTTATATACCCACCACCATTAAGTTTTTAAATCAACCCACAAATATATTTAAAGAGATATTCTTTAGTAAAAGAAAACCAAAAAAACAGTATTATTTAGAGTATTTCTTCTCAGTAAAGTGTGTTCATTATTTAGATATATAAAGAAATTAATCCCATCTCTTCTCTTATTTTGTAACGTTGATTTATACAAATCAAACCCATTTTGACATTCTTCGGTGTACGTTCTATTTTGTTTATTTTATAATTTTTAAATATTTGATTAATGTTGTTCCGTTTTTCTAATATTTGAATGATCAAATTTATTAAATTCATACAAAAGTAAACTTGTTTAAATATTAGACTTTGAATGAGTATATACTTTTATAAATTCATGGCAATTAATTCGAACTAAATTGCTATTTAATAATATATTTAGTGAGAGTGTATAAAAACTATTAATTTATTTAATTGAAATATAAATTAATATAAAAAAGAAACTTCAAATGGCACATTTGACTGAATCAATCTATTGGCCATCCCACACCCACCAAAATGCCGACGAGACTAATGTAAGCCGCGTAATACATGTCATGAAAACAATTACAATTGGTCAAATTTCATAGAATGTCCTCATATTATATTTTTAATCAATTTGGTCTCTTTAATATTATTTGATCAATTTTAATTCTACCTTGCAATACTTTTTTTTCGTTAATTCTATATGTTTAGATATTAAATAAGAAAATTAACATTATAATAAAGTAATTAAATCTATAAAAACATATAGTAGAAGGACCTTGTACAAAATTTGACCATTTCAATTTTAATAAAAGAAAAAGGAAAGTTCCCATCATCTCCAATCCCATCAAGACAAGATTTAGTCAATAATGCCCCAATTCCATATATATATATATATATATTCCAATCCTTTTATTCATATCTCAAATATATTCATATATTATATCATATCTTCCAACACTTTGCCATAGGTTGGCCAAATGAGAATCCATATTCTACCAAAAATCCTTATCTTTTAAATAATCCCAACAAATCTATTTATTATTTATTTATTTAAATAATTTTTTCAAAATCAAAAGAAAAAATAATCTATAAATTATTTAATATTTCTATTAGGAAAAAAAAAGAGTAAGAGGAGACTACTAACCAGTTGTTGCTGCAAATGCGCCATTGTCACAGCACGAAAATTTAAGTACATGTAAACAAGCAAAGCAGCCTTTCTTATACTCAACAGCAAATCGACCCTTGTTTTTCGCTCTTCTCTTTCCTTTTTTTTTCTCCTCAACCAAACAAACCCCAAGAAAATTTTCTCTTCCAGGGTGTTGAGGGGAGAGACAAAACAGCCATCGATGGAGAATTCAACAAGGTTAGTTCAAGAGAACAATTGGAGCTTGCACTTCCCATCATCATCATCATCATCTTCTTCATCTCCTTTGAACTCTCCACTTAGCAACAATGGAACCAACACCCCACCTTTAACTCCAATCCCCATCTCCAGATCTGAGACCAACCCTTGCCCAACAACGTTTGTCCAAGCCGACACGACCACTTTCAAACAGGTTGTCCAAATGCTCACCGGTTCATCGGAGACTGCTAAACAAGCTTCCCCGAAGCCTCCAACACAACAACAACCCCAACACCATCATCAAGGAATGCCAGCAAAATCATATTTTCCTATCCCTCCCATGAAAACGAACTCACCCAAGAAACAAAATTTCAAGCTTTATGAGAGGAGGAACAGTAACCTGAAGAACAACCTCATGATGATCAACACTTTCCTGCCTTCTAGTGGCGGCGGCGGCGGCGGTAGTGGTGCTTTTTATTCGCCGAGGAATGTCGAGATCTTGTCTCCGAGCTTGCTCGACTTCCCGAAGCTTGCTCTTAGCCCGGTTACACCATTAAATGAGGACACTTTTAACAAGTCTTCACCTTCTTTACGTAATTCATCTGAGGAAGATAAAGCTATAGCGGAGAAAGGCTTTTACTTGCATCCATCACCTATGTCGACTCCTAGAGACACTGAGCCTCAGCTCTTGCCACTGTTCCCAGTTACTTCACCAAGAGTTTCAGGCTCCTCTTCTTAAGAATTCAATGAAGAAGAAAATGATTATGTTAGTTTGAGAGTGGTTTGTCAAGAGGGTTTGGCTGAATTTGAGTGGAAAAAAAATGAAGTTACGAGAATCTGTCTTAAATTGTATGATTTGATCTCCCTTTGATTATGGTAAAGCTCTTCCTTTTCACCATCTTCTTTCTTCATTTCTCTTGGATTTTGTCCTGCTACTTGAAACCATAAAATTTACTACTAATCCCTTAGTTTTGATCTGTTTTATTGTTGTGACTTGTGACATTGTGTTATATGCTTTAATGTAATTTTTGCAGCTCGTTTCTGCCAAATAAAACTTCTACTCCCTATAGGATTATTACAGACATTATAGTTGTTATAAGAACACTGTTTCTTTAAGAATAATGTTCAATTTCTTTGTCTGATAATTGAGTTTTATATATAGCAAAAAGGTCAGAAAGATGAAGAAGACATTTTCTGTTGCTCAGGAAAAAAGAAGTGAGTGGGGTTTGAGTTGCAGAAATTAAGACTTTTTGGCTGGTTTCAATAATGGACCATCATAATGTGTTATAAGGATGTCTGTTTCCCAGTCCAATTCACTGGAAAAAATATTTTGGGTGCATTTTGTTTGTACTGTGTAGGAGTGTGCTTTGTCTTTGTAAAAACTCTTCATTTTCATTAGCTTAAAAACTTTGCAGTTTTTAATCAACAATACTATGACAGACAAACATTTCTATCATTAAAAAAGACCCACCACAACAAAGGAGAAAAAGATCAAACAAGATGTGACAACATTGGATCCTCTTAATCTTTTCACTTTCCTACACCAAAATATTAAGTGGAAGGCAAGTAAATGATATATATGTGTATGTACTTATATGTATTGGAAATGAAACTATTACGAAGGTAATGCCAATGCTTTGCTGCTTTTGTTTACCCTTTTTCTTGGTCTTGCTTTAATTGCAGTCTACTACAATTCCATAACTACTAAGTGCAAACCCTCTGTTTTTTGTGTGGATTGTTTTAGCGGTACTGAAAGTGCAGTCGAAGTTTTTGATATTAGAAAATTTGTTTTGAGGTATCTAAGACATAAGGCAAAGGCTTGTAAGAAATTGTGAAGATTGAATGACCCACGTCTTTAGCTTCTTTGAAGATGGAAGAGCAATCTTTTTCATTTAGATCTTATTTTGTATTGGGAACATACTCAGCAGGCTAAACTGGCAAGAGTTGAGACGTTCTTGCCTAATATATTTTTCCTTGACAGGGACTTTGAATCAAGGGAAAAAGTATACAAAATCAAACATTTTTTAAATAAAGATATATACAGAAAAACAAAAATTGAAAGATATTTCCTGTTTAAGTTTGTTCGGAAAAGAACGTTTATAAAAACAGTAATGAAAATTGTTTTGTCCACTGTACTTCATTATATATATAGTGTGTGCAACTCTGCATGCATGCAGTTTCAACTACCTCATCAGTCATTTACTGCATTTTTATTGCAAAGCTGAACGAAATGTTCATAGGAAACATTTTCCATTCAAAGCTGTGTTCTGATGCTGGTTTACATATTGAAAGATGTTGCGTTAGTCTCGAATTCGACATATTAAATTTGGTAACTATTTTTTTTCACCCGAAACCTAAGCCTAACATAGTTAATGGAATGTTTCCAACATTCATGAGTTCATGTGTTTCAAAGCAGACACCTAGTGTTCATCCTCTGAAACGAAAACCAAATCCTTTTTTTTTTGGGAAACATTATTACATGCAATGTTTGGTAGATGTATCTCAGAATTGAAAACATTAGTTGTCACCAAGATTGAACTCCCATTTCTCAGAATGAAAGCCACAAATAGAAACTGCAGAAAGCCAATATTTATTGCATTTGAAAGTTTATCATGTGTATGAGCTGTTACAGTCGATATTATTACAGAAGTACAAAATTTCTATTAAAACTCCGAGAACGAGTCAATAGTCTTGAACCCATGGTTCTCAGGAAGAGGACCGTTTCCAGGAATGCGGAGATTATCGCCTCCAAACCTACTGCATGCATAATCATGAAAATATTAATAAACCAAGTGTATATCGCCTTAATTTTCTAGTTTTAACACTGAAATCAGAAAATTATCTGCAGGACCAGACTTTCAAGACACATGTTCCATTGAAAACTTATTGAAATGTAGCAAAGTTTACTATTTCTGTTACGTAATTTGTTGCTTATGGAATCGGTGTGATTCAGATTCTCTTGTAACAATGAAGCATATCTAAGGGGAAATAAAAACAAACAGGCAAACCAACAAAAAGGAAAGGAATATGAAAAAACTAAGCGCGGTACGATACCTGCAGCTTTTGCAGCAATGGCTTCTTGATAGATATCAGTCAGAAATAGTATCTCAGATGGCTTATCGACACCCAAGGTCTCAGTTATTTCAACGTAACTGCGTTTTTCTCTTTTGTTTCTGCAAGCAAAGATGGCAAAACAAAGTGTCACCTTGAATTAAAATCGAGTGATAAGAATGGAAGCAACTATGGAAGTTGTGAATTTACCTCACTGCGGTGTCAAAATATCCAGATAAATACTTTCTCAAATCGCCAAATTTTGTGCTTCCAAAGAGAAGCCTCTGAGCCAATCTGCTACCACTGGAATATATGTAAACCTGTGGTGAAAAGAGGGAGTTATTAACATTGAAATTGAACTTCCTGTAAAATATAAATGTCAAATAAAGAAGTCAAGGAAACACACAAGATACCTTCACACCCGAAGCATGCCACTTTTCAAGAGCTTCTGGAACATCATCGAAAACTATGCCTTCGAGCTCGTTGTTTTCAAATCCAGTGCGCCATGTATGACCCTGTTTTGCTTCATATATTAGCTCCATCCCAAAGGTAAGCTTTAAAAGTGTATTTTTCTTTGAATTCATTTTTCTTACTTGCAATTGCTTCAAGGCTGTGATTTTTCTATCGGCTTTTATCATTGCTTCCACGTTAGCAACCAAAGCTGCAATCACCTCCTCTTTTCCAGCATCACCAGAGGGGATAGGTACATCGCCAATAACACCCTGCTTCAAATCATCTTCAATCTGCAGAAAATCAGTTATGCATCCAATATAGACATCTGACTTGGGAGTCAATTTCGAGTTCTTTGGTTGCCCTAATCTCCATTATAAAAAATAGTAGCAATGCTTTTTATTCATCGAGAGCCAATCAATCATGGCGGCTTAACTGTTAAACATAGTTCTTTCCTATAAAAAATTTAAAATAAAAGGTTCAAAGGTCCAAAGAAATGTCTTACTTGAGAACATAATAACTTAATATCATCTTGGGTTTCAGCACTAGTATAAGTTGCGGATAAATGCCTCCCGACGTTGTTTCGGGCACAAGGAAAGAGAATATCCGTTGCAAATGAAATAGGAGTGGTAGTTCCTTCAATGTCAAGGACAATGCAACGCTGCAACAGGATAAAGCATATATGAGAACATATTTCTGGCCAATGAATGTAACAATGTTCTTGTTCAGCAATAAAACAATCAGTCTACCAAAATGTCATTCATCCATTCAAGTAAAAATCCTGAATCAAACCAACTGAAGGGAAAAATATATAAAATTCTTACTGGTAACGGCTTCACAGTACAATTTGAATCCATCGTCCTAGACCTTTTAGGCACATTACGACCGACACCTGGAACTCCTTTAACACTCTGAATGAGGCCATGATCTGGATTAGATCAGTCCAAGCCTAGTTGATGAAGTTTAATAGCAGCATCGAAGTGGTAATGGTAACATTCAGCCTGAAATAGCAAGGAATGAAGTATGACTGAAGCAACGTGTAAGAATCTCCACCTTACCAGGGAGGAGCATTGACTTTTAGTGAAGGTTTTACTTTTAATCATCGTTTTTATATTCCAATTCATATGCATACGAAAATACTTTTGGCATTTGTAAGCAGTGGTAAAGTGTTGAGCATATTCTGGAAGGTGCCAGCTCAGCACGGTTGTTATCCAGCTCAGCATAGTTAGTTAGCAGACTAACAACTTTAGCTAGTTTGTTATGGTGTGTATGCTGTATAAATAACAAGAGCAATGTAATCATAAAGAAGTATGAAGACTTTTATTCTCTTTATACATTTTTGTACTGCTTTCTCAACATGGTATCTTTCGCCATTGATCTTGGAGGCGTCGCCTTTCCGTTGCTTCTCTGATAGCTGCTGGTTTGATTGCTTCTCGTGATTCCTTTCGTTTTTTTTTTCGGTTATGGCATCTGAGGATGTTGAGCACAGTTTGGTTGTTGGAGACTCCTCGAGAAGCAATCGTCTATTCATAAACAAGAAGATCAACATAGTTCTTGATGAAATGAACTTTCTGTTGTGGAAACAGCAAGTTCTCTTGACAGTAAGGAGTCATCGCTTGGAACGTTTACTCACTGGTGAACTGAAACCTCCACCGGCGCAGATTCAGTCTGGTGATGGCAGTCTTGTGACCAATGAAGATTATGAAATCTTTGTTGCACAGGACAGTGCTTTAGCTTCATGGTTGCTGTCCACAATTAGTGATCACATACTTCCTCAATTTGCTGGTGCAGAAACTGCTGCGGATGTATGGTCCACCGTTCTCAAGTTCTTTGCCAATCGGTCGACAACAACAGTAATGAGCCTTCATTGCAAGCTGCGAGCAATTAAGAAAGGTGATGAGAGTATGAGATCGTATCTTACTCAAATAAAAGAAGTATGCGATGCGTTGGCTGCATGTGGAAGTGCAGTCTCAGATCTTGAACAGATAGCAACCATATTGAATGGCTTACCGTTTGACTATAAACCATTTATGGTGGTTATCACTGCGAGTAAAGAAGCCTTCTCGCTTGATGGAGTAAAAGCTATGCTGGTTGATGCTGAGGCGCAACTCAAGAGTTTTCAGTTTCAAAATCAAGTGACAATGAGTGCAAATGTTGTTCACATGCATAACAGTAATCCAGATTCTGGACGCGCTAGTCAGTACAATCGACCTTATAGTTCGAATGGAAGGACTGGAGCTAGATCAGGAGCTCGTGGTCGAGGACGCTCTAAACTTCAGTGCCAACTATGCGGTAAAATTGGCCATTCGGTGGATAGATGCTGGAATCGATTTGATCAAAGTTTTCCAGGGGTTTTAGCACGCAAAGATGAGTACAACGATGAGTCTACTGCTGTGC